GCTAGTGATGCGTGAACTCCTTTCCCCTAGCCGTTCACATGTACACAATAGGATGCCTGCGACTGTGGTTACCACACGCACACCCACGCAAGTGCGAACGCCTCGGAGAAAGGAGCTTTGGCAGATAAAAGGTATTCCAGGCTTCCTTACCGCTCCGCACCTAAATGCATGGCGTGGCTAGGCAGATACACTGTCTAGCCACACCCATCATTAGGTCTTATTATCAGGGTAGGGCTTATATTTAACAAATACATAGACATCCTGCTAGGGCTTATTTTGGGGGTAGGTCTTATTTTGGGGGAAACACAGTATTTCTTGCTTGTATCATATGGACTGGCAGTAGAGAGTCTATGTCCTAAATAATCATTCAAAGACCCAGGTTCCTGCCATGTAGTGGCTCCCCCACTTCCTAGGGCTTTAGAGCCCTGCACTGAAGACTCCTCATCTTATCAGCAGAAGAGGTAAGAGACAGCATGGAGAATTTCCAGAGATTTTATAGACCCAGCCTGAAAGTGACACTGTGGTTTCATTTCTACCACAGCTCATGGTGGTAGAAATGCCTAAGGTCACCCATGTTTACCTGGGAGAGAATCTGGAAAGTGTGGACAAAGTGTGGATGGTGTACCCTGGAGAGAAAGGAGGTGGAGTGCGGGGAAACATGCCATGGTGTCTGCCACAGACACACTGCTAAGTTTGGATTGAAACATCAATGTAATTATTTCCTTAACAACTGCCAAGCTGTGTGTTTCAGACAAAGGATTACTAAAACCTTTTCCCCTTCTGCATAAGAATTTGACCTTTGGTTAACTCTCTAGCTCTGTTTCCCTGGAAACCTGATAAAGGAAGAATGTCTAACTAGGCAGCCAGGCAAGATAGCTTAGGACAAAAATGACCCCTGGTTGGTAAATTGCATTTAACTGGGAGAACTATAAATATTTGATCGAAAGTCGGAGCTTTGGGCTTCTCTGCATATGATGACTCTTGAATAATAATTGGGCATGTCCCTTGGAAGAGTGCTGGAAGTTAGGCCTCTAGAGGTGGTACAGAGAAATTAGCTCCTATAGGACATGAGGTCTTTAACTCCTGTGGCCACCTGATGTGAATCTAATGCTCTCTCTTCTGATCTGTTACCTTGGAACCAATCCAAATAGCTCCTTGGTAGCTGCGTACACTGCTTCGTGCTTTGTGATGGTTACAAGGACCACTCCAGGGAAGAAAAATGTCCAATGTTCCCCTGGATGGTGAGCTACGCTCCTGTCTTGGGCCTGCATTACTTTTACTGCCATGTGAAAATGCATTTTTTTATTTTTTTATTAACCAGAAAAGAAGGAACTTTTAGGTCAAAATAATGCTTTGATATGTAATTTTAATATATTTGTCTTTATACCAATGGCATTGTGCCATATGCTTTTTTATTTTTACAAAGGAAGGGGCAAATGAAGATCATCGTTTGGCCCTTTGAGGGTCTCGTGAGGCTGGTAGAGTTTTGGTAGAGCTTAAATTGACCCCCAGGTGGCTGTTAGACAGGATAATCAAAGTTTCAAATAATTAATCTCCCTTATTAAAACCTCTCTATTTCTTCCCTCTTCTTTAAATAGGAGTATCTCTTCCAAAACAAACTGGGCTTTAAAAAATACCACACTTAAACAAAATATGATAAATAAAATACTTGCATCAGCATCTCTGGTTATACTTTTGTGGTGAAAATAAGGTGTGGTTTAGTCTAAATGTCTGTTTTATTGATCTAATAAATGACAAAAAGTGTTGAGTATAGCAGTAGTTTTTGACATTACATGTAAATCAGAGGCAGTTTTGAGAAACAGGTCTAACCACAACATCTTCTTGAATTGGGTGCACCTTAAAGATGGCCCAGGATGTCAGTTTCCAAGAATG